AGAATGCCATTTTTTTCCCCGGCCCATCATCACCCTTTCCATCTCCTTGAAATCCTTGAAACTCCTAAAAAAATAATTTCTTCCTTTCCCTCTCCTTGTCTCTTGAAATTCCAATTCCGAGTCAAATTCCGATTCAAATTCCCAGCCTGAGTTGATATCCCAATATGCCTGTTTTTTTTCCCCCACGTTCCCAAGGTTTTTTTCCAGGTCTGATTGTTTCCCCCGATTTTGCAGTCCGTCATCGTCCCAATTTCCGGTTGAGGTTTGAATTTTGGTTGGGTGGTTGGTGGGAAGAGAGAGATCCGGAGATCTACATGTCGCTCTTTCTGATGGATTGGATTGGATTGGATTGGAACGATGGAGATTGGATTTTGGATCTTGGTAGGAGGGAGGGAGGGACCGGCGAGGGATTAGGGATCAGATAATGGGGGGGGGGGGGGGGGGGGTAATGTGTATGTATAGATAAACAAGTGAGACGTAAATCCTGAGGATAGGTAGGTAGGCAGGGAGGTATTTGTGTATGTGTGTGTGTGGTGGTTGGTTGCTGGTGAGTGATGGAGGTGATGCTGACGATGCTGATAACAATTGTCGATGCCGATGGTGGTGAAGTGAAGTATAGAGCGTGAACGCGAAACGAAAAAGAAGGGCTGTGCTAATAGAGAACGATGGCGATGTCAATGGCGATGGCGGTAATGTCGAGGAGCTGGGAATAGAGGAGATATATATCGTATATATCTCATAGGTATAGATGTATCGCTCGCTCGCTCGCTCGCCCCGTTGCTTATCCCGCCCTATGCCCGCGAAACGACCATTCCCGGGCACGTACGGAAATCACAACTGATGGTCGTAATAAGGGGAGCGGAGGGCGGAGAGCGGAAACCACTCACCCAGGCCGGGCAGCCCGAGACAGGATAGATAGATGGATGGACAGATAGATGGATGGATGGATGGATGGATGGATGGAGGTCGAGTCGGTCAGGTGATCCACCGCGCCGACGAGGTCCGTACCTACTGATCAGGTGACCTTTGCTAGGTGATGTTCATCTCCTGCTGCAGCATCGAGCTCGAGAAGAATCCCCGACTCGTCTGCTGATCGACGCTCTCCCACCGCCCACACCCACCGCCACGCCCGTAGACGCTCTCACCTCCCACCAGGCTCGGCAGCACGTATCCACCGCCGTTGTGGTTGCTGCTGCTGCTCCCGGCGGCCGCGGAATACTCGTTCTTGATCTTGTTGGTCGTGTACTCGCCCACGCTCGGCAGCGTGTACCGGCTCTCCTGCTGGCCCTCGTACTGCAGCGTCGCGCCCGGGCAGTACAGGTAGCACGGGCTCTCGTCGATGCCGCTGCTGCTGCTCTTCGCCTCCTCGTGGGAGGACAGCGCCGGCTCCATGGGGATCTGCAGCGGCGGGATCGACGACCGGTAGTGGTGGCCCCCGCGGGAGTCGTACGTCGAGTGGTTGGTGTAGGCCGAGCCGGGCAGCATCGAGGAGGAGCCCATGCCCAGATCGCCAGGGGCGCGCCCCGATGAGCCGGACGGCGTGTAAGAGCCTCCTGGTCCGGCGGAGCCGCTGGGCCCGCCACTGGAGTTGGAGCCGCGACGTTCGCCCTGGTAGTGGCCCGGGGAGCGGCCTCGCACCACCATCGGGGCCGACATGCGCGTCGCGATCTTGACCCAGCGGTCCGGGTGCTGAGAGCCCACGTCGGCGAAGAGTTCCACGAGGAGGTGGTAGTACTGCTGCGCGGCTCGCCGCTTGCCGTTGTTGGCCGTGGCGTTCTTGAACTGGATGCGCTCGAACGTGGCTTCGACGGCGGGCTGGTTGGGATTTTGGGAGAAGCTGGGCGTGGAGTAGAGGTCGCGCGAGGAGAGGGAATCGTACATGCCGTGGGGGATGGGAGGTCGGGGAGAGAGGGTGATGCGGGCCGGTTTTTCTTGGGGCCCCTTGTCTCGCTTAGGAGTGTGTTGGACGAGCTCGATGGACTTGCCGTCTCGGCCGTCGACAACAGCTGCGATGCTCATGGCGAAGCCATTGATGGCGGGTCCCCCACCGCTGTGCTGCATTAGGTACAAGGTGCCGACGGGGATCGTAGGTGATAAGGTATAGGAGCAGTTGAGGGAGAAGTAGTTGCGGCGGTAGCAAGTCCAGTCGCCCTCAGCCATGAAGAAGCCCTTGTCAATCCGGGCGAAGATCTCGGGCTTGACGATCTGCCCGTCGGCGGCTTGAATGGAGTAGGTGACTTCGGTTAAGCTCATCGGGGGGCTGGATTGCCCGTTAAGCGAGTTGTCCATGTTGGAGGTGGGACTGTTGAAGCTGCTGTTGGGAGAGGGGGAGTGGGGTACGATACCGCGGTGGCCACTGTGGTGAGATAACGACGAAGGACTTTCCAGGAGATCCGTACTCCGTCGCAGCTGGGGTGTCGTACTTGTGTATAAGTCTCGCGTCGTCAAAGACGATGAGGGATGGGGCAGTGCTGCTGAGCGAGAAAGTGATGCCAGTCCCGAAGTCGTACTATGCGAATATAACATTACTATCTGATCATACAAGATATCTGAAGAGGGTTCCTAGATGGTGTATCCTGATACATGAGGAGGGAGGGGGATTGTTGTTGTTGCTGTTTGCTGTTTGCTGTTGAACTGAACTTACTACGAGCCCATTCGTGGCTTAATATCAGGCATGGAAAACAGAGAGGTGCTCGGAGAAAAGTAAGAGCCCCCGCTAGTGTACGTGGAACCGTTCAGGGGCGGTTGATAGATGTTGGTGTAAGGTGAATAGGACAACGTCGATGACGGGTTTGTATTCGGTACCGCAGGCTCCAGTGAGTACACAGGGCTGTTGGAGGTACCGGAGTCGGGCGAGAATCTGAGCTATCAGTCAGCCACCAGGCTGCTTCTGATGAAAGTAGGACAGCTTTTATTTTAAGGTTGACGGGGATTTGCCTTGGGCGGCCATGCTACCACCATCGATCGGTCCTGGTGCCCAGTTGGGGCTGCATTGTGGTTATGTAGTACGGACGTAGGACCGCCAGCAATTCAACCGTTCGTTGCACGAGGAGCGGCGGACTACTCGCGTGATCCAGGCGCAGAGCGGGATGATGGGGGGAGAGGTGGGGGGAGGGTGGAGGGGGGGGAGGGGGGAGAGGGGGAGAGGTGGGGGGAGGGTGGAGAGAGGGGGGAGATGGTCTGACAGGATGAGGCTTAAGCAGTGCAACCGCTGACGAGCTGATGCTGCTGTCGCTATCGCTGCCGCCGGTGCTGCTATTGCCCATGTCGGAGAGGCTCGTGTGGATAGGGAGATGCGTGTGGCATCGGGATGAGATGGGAGAAACATGGGAGGGATAGAAAGGGTAGGGAAGGCTAGCTTAGACGACTCTCCTTCTTCTGTTCGCCCACAACAAGGCAACCCAACGATAAGACGAACGAACGACGGAGCAACGGTGATGGACAGCTAGGAACGGTGCACAGATGATGCGCATGTGCCGTAAGCCTTGCCAGGTGGCTTGGCTCCACGAGAATCGCAAGTCCAATGAAAACACGAGATGGACTCGAGCACAGCAAGACAAAGCGAAGCACAGCAAAGCAAGGCAAGGCAAGGCAAGGCAAAGCAAAGCAGAGCAGAGCAGAGGACTTACCGGACATCGTCTGCAGACATCCTGGTCATGTATCCCATCCCCATATCCGGCATGGTCTGCGAGTTTGGGTAGTGATCGTTTCTGGAAGAGCTTTCAGGCTCCGCGTCGGGACCGATGTTACACGACGGTGAGTGGCCAGAGGGATTGGCTAGATCCGAGAAATTACCCGATTGCGAGCACATTAAGTGATTGAGCGACAGATTCGGGGATGTGAGGACTGTAGGCAGTCGTGGTTAGAATCGGCCATCGCCATGTTTATATGATCGTTTCTGTGCCGCGCGGGCGAGGGGATGTGATGTGAGGTGATTTGATGTGAAGTGGAGTGAAGGCAGAGAGAGAGGAGAGCGGGATGGAGGATGAAGCAGTCCAGTCCATCCAGCCCAGCCAAGCTAGGAGAAGAAGAAATTGCGAATAGAGGAGCGACAGCAGCAGCATCGAAAGCGAGAAGCCACACATGGCTTGGCATGGCATAGCATGGAGCGGAATGGAGCCAGAACATGTGTCAACGGCCAGGGCCGGTATAACAATGTCAATCCCAATGCCAGTGCTAATGCCTGCTTACTTGCTTGCTGAAGAAGGGGGCAAAAAAAAAAGGACCAGGATGCTGAGGTCGCACAACGATAGCAATTCCAAGAGCCCGTTCGACCAAGAGGGAGCTCTGGAAACACCACACCCAAACACCAATAGGAGGCACAAAGGAGAGAATTGCTGTGACTGTAACTGTAACGGGATCTGGTCCTGCGTAACACGAAGGAGACGAAGGGAAAAAATCGCAGTCAACAAACATCCCGACGTAGCAGAGGAAGTGACATGTAGGTGGTAGATAATACAGGAGTTCCCCCCCTCTCCCTTCCCCTCTCCCCTGCGGCGGCGACATGCTGAATCCGGCTTAGAAAGCAGACAGCTGGGATGAGTGAGGGCGAGACAGAGCAACGCAATGTATACATATGTATGTATGTATATATATAACAGGGCTGAAGCCGACAAAAATCAAGGCGGAGCAAGTAATGAACATGGACATGGACATGAACGTGGCCCTGGATACGCGCGAGAGAGAGAGGGAGAGATGTGGGAGAGAGATAGGAATCCAGAGTCTGCTTACCTATAGTCATTTGCGCCCGTGGATGGCTCTTCTCATTCGCTAGGCCGGCGTCGGTCTTGCTTCTTTCTACTTGCGACCTCTGCTGTCTTTCGCTGGACTCTGGCACGGGCGGACTGAGCCAACCGAGTGGTGTGGCGGGTTGTGGTGTGGTGTGGTGGAGTGGTGGTGGAGTGTTGTGGTTGGACCTAGGCCTGCAGAGTGTGATGGAGATGCGAGAAGGCGATCTCTCAGACCGGGGGGTGCTTCAGATGCGTTTCCCGGATCCAGATATACCGTCTCCCGATTGTGAGTATATCAGGCCCGTCGGCACCAGCCAATTGAAAATAAAAAGGCGGTTGTGGAATGTTTTCTTTTCTCAGAGTGAGAGGAGGGAAATCTCGAAGCGAGATGTGAGGCGAGGCAAGTCAAGGCAAGTCAACAATGCCAATGCACAACCAACACCTTTCTTTCTCTTTCTCTATACGCGCAAATCCTCAACTCAACTCAACTCTTCTTTTCTCTTCTCAGAACTCGACTCAACTCCCCGCACTCTCACGGGAAAATGAGCGAGGTGGGTTGGCGAGGATCAGAGGGCGAAGAACGATCTATGGTCGATCGGGGCCCGGGGGTAGTGATGGACGTGATGGATTTGGTGGCTAATAGAGGGGCAGAGGCGCAGAGGGGCAGCAGCTCTGCTCGTCTCGGGCAATGCACACTGCACAGGGCCTTCGCTACAGGGATTGAAAGGGCTGCAGGCCGCTAATCTGAGGATTTGCAGGGAATTCCGAAGAGGGTGCAGAAAAAGCCCGGAATAAACAATGTTCGGCCGTCCAACAGATGTGCCCTGTCGCGGACGTCCTGACCGAGTGGTAGGGAAGAGAAGCAGGGCTGGAAGGGGGGAAGCTGCGACAGGATGCGCTAGGCGGAAAGCCGAAGGTCTTTTTGTTGTTGTTGTTGTTGTTACGTTGCTGTTGTTGTTGTTCTTGTTGTTGTCGTCCTCGTCCTCGGCAGTTGGTCGTGTTGCTTTGCGACGCGATGTTTTTTCCTCTCTCTCTAATCGAGGTCTTCTGTTGCTTATTTCTCTCGTATCTCTTTTCGTCTCTATAATCTCGTCCCAGGGTTCAAGATGCCGCGTTTTTATTTTATATTTTATATTTTTTGTTTTTGTTTTTCCTTCTCGAGTAGAGCGGTTGAGGTCTGTGGCTTGGGTGATGGATGGATTCTGGGAATCTCAGATCTGGGTCGGGTGAATATTGATATGACGTGAGGCGACGGACCAGTCCCCGGTTCTGATGTGCTGATGAGGTCAGGGTCGGAGTGATTGAGATGATCGATTGGGGAAAAAGCAATTCTCGCGGTGCGGATTTGGTTTTGATCGCCCGCTGGGGGGATGAGTCAAATCTATACCCTGGGTCAGTGCTGCGAATAAGAGAGCGGGTGGCGCACCGTACTGACCTTTGGCTGGAAGCTGGAAGGAGGAGTGAGTGCGTGATTGCGTCGGTAGTTCACGGTTCACGGTTCGAGCCAGTTTTCTCGGATCGGGTGGGAGCTGGCTGGCTCTTCTTGGAACAAACTCGTTCGTCTTCTTTCCTCCCAATCTTTTTCTGCAAAAACTAAACACAAGAAAAAAGTCGTTTTCTTGATTCCAGGTTTCTTGTTGAGTTGAGGAGGGGTGGTCGCTTGTCTTGTTGGGCGTGTGGGGGATAGTCGGAGATGTGGTTCTGGCTCGGTGCGTATATTCGTGGGAAGAGGATAGAGATGCAGGTGAGACGCATGTGTGGGTGAGAGAGGAGAGGGAGCAAAAGCTGACCCGGAAGCCTGGAAGTATCTCCCCGAAACGGCGAACGGGACTGTCGTGCAGGAACAAGGGTATGCTTCTCTTCTTCTTCTTGCTTCTTTCTTTTCTTTTCTTTTGTTTTGTTTTTGTTTTCCTTTTTCTCTTCGACGTGATGATGAGCAGCCCGGTATCGTATCCTATGGTATGGTATATGGTATCGTATTAGACCCGGACTGACTGATTGACTGACTGACTGAATGAATCAATGGGGTCCGTCTCAATATATGAATCAAACAATCTTCTTCCGCACTTGGCACAATCGACACTAATACCAATCGATATCCAGCACCAGCAACCCCCAAAGCTTCTTCGACGGGTGACTGTGGGTTCGATATGGCACGTGGTAAGTGGAGACTAGAAGAGGAGGAGGAGGCGGCGGAGGAGGAGGCGTTTCAATGGATGGGATTGGATAGGATGAGATGGGGTGGGATTGGATCTCTGGGTGTTCGAGCTAAGAGATAGATCGATGGGTCTGTACGCATCAGCTACCGCCCCCATTGCCATTGTTGCATGGTTCACGTCGGCGACTTGGGGACGTGGACCTGGCCCTAGCTCTGGACCTGGACGCCGGTGGCCTTGGAGACGTGAAGGTTGAAGATGCGTGACAATGCAACATACAACCTTCATCGCAGCCTTTGGAACTAAGGGACTAGGAGATGGGAACATGGCAGGGCATGGCATTAGCATACCTGGTCTGGTATAGTCTCGTCTCCGTTAGAAGATCCCGGTGGAGTTTAGTTCG